GTGCGGCGCGGGCTTGGCAGGCGGCCCCTCCTCTGACAGGTGGCGTGGTGATGGCATTGGGTCAAGTGGGTGTGGTTTGAATACCTACTCTGTGAGCTTTCAGACACGAGTTAGGCCAGCTGTGGGATCTGCCCTTTCTCTGTCCCAAGCTTGACAAGGTCAGGCTTCACCTGCCCCATGTCTCCCCAGTGGACGTGGACGTAGAAGATTATTACCCAGCTTTCCTGGACATGGTGCGGAGCCTGCTGGACGGCAACATAGACTCGTCTCAGTACGAAGACTCGCTGAGAGAGATGTTCACCATCCACGCCTACATCGCCTTTACCATGGACAAACTCATCCAGAGCATTGTCAGACAGGTGGGACTGGTGGGGGACTCGGGCTGGGGTTGGGGCTGGGGCAGGTGAAGTGAAAGTGAGATTTGGGTAGCGAAGGAGAAGGCAATTTGGCCACATGACCGTGTATTACCTAGACAGTTCTGAGCAGGGGCACAGTGAAGTTGGATTGCTCATGGTACAGCAGGAGTGTGTCCACTCCTTTCCATTCTCAGTCAAATGGCTCAGTGCTGTGGGCCTACCGCAGGCCCTTTCTTGCTGGCCACCTGTGGAGCACGTGGTCGCGTGCCTAACCCCCTGCCCTGCTGGCCCTCAGCTAACCCGTCCCCAGTCTTGGCTGCAGAGTGAGTACATAGTGTGTGACTTCTCTCGTGTGTATTGGTAACTGTGTACTTGCCCCATCGAGTATTTGACATTCTCAAGAATCAGTTTTGTACAACAGCTTACCTACCCCACCCACCTAGCCCCTGGGAAGGCTCTCTGGGTTAGACCGATGGTTGACTTTGTGTTTTCCTCCTGTGGCACCCCAAGAGTTTAAATACGTTCTTCACACCCGTGGAATCTTTATACCAAGTAGCTTGCAAAGGACAGTCAGTTTATACTCCTTGGCCTTGAACTGGGAACTCTCAGAGGAATCAGTCTGTACATTTTTTAAAGGAAACACTGGTCAGAAAGCCAATTCTGAGTCTTGCGTCTACACTACCACTACAGAAGGAAAGGCCTTGCTAAAAGCCCGGTGCCTTCTTGGATAAGACAGTGAATTCTTTGCAAGGCGTGCTGTTCTTGCCTGGGGCTTGGAAGGGTGCATGCCTCTGCATCCCTCCCACAGCATCCACCCAGGGCAGGAGAAGAACCCTTTGCCTGGCTGGGCCTAGGCACCTCGAGGCTGTCAGTTTCCCCGGAATGTCTAAGCCGTTAGTCAACCTTCCCATGAGAGGCTGAAATGGAGGCTGACAGACATCCTTCTGTGGATAGTCCATGGTCTTTGCAGACCCACTAGTCGTGCTCACAAGGTTGGCGCTGCTCCCAGCCGCTAGGACTGTGGTCTTTTATACCAGCAGCACACGGTAAAGGAAAGCTGATAAAGCGATTTACCTCTCCGGAGCTTGAGGTTGGTTTCAGTAACAGATGCGATCAGGCCATTTACTAGACACGTGATGCTGAGCAGGGCGCAGTGATGGCGGATTGCTCATGGTGCGGTCGGAGTGTTTTCTAAGCATCTGTGATTCCTAGTTGATAATATATACTATCTCAACCCTTTTCTTCTTTTTAAGATTTTTGCCTTAGAGTGTGTGGCCTTGCTCGAGAGAAACAGACAGTGAGAGAGAAAGGGAAAAATTACCTTGGAGAGATGAGGGGTTGCCACACCACAATTCCTTCTCCTCCTTTTCCCTCCTGGGATTTGGGGTTGCACACACATGCTCTCGGAGTGATTTTTAGGCCACCAGGTTTGGGTCTCAAACCATGGTCTGCCATGTAGGAATCTAGCACCATAACCATTATGCCACTTGCTTGCCTCCCTTTTTTTTTCTTTTTTCCTTAAAATGAAAGAAATTTCATTCCAGAAAATTTCCAAATCAGCAAGTTTAGAAAGCATGTGTTGAGACCACTCTGACTTCATTTGGAGGCATCTCTTCCCTCATCCTCATCTTGTTTGGTGTCCCCAGGGTTCCCTGCTTGCTGCAGTCAACACATTTTAGGGCTACACCATTCATTTATCTTACCTTCTCCAGGCTGGCTTGAGTTTGGAGCCAGCATAGTGGTTAAGGCACTGAGCTCCCACATGGCCAGTTGTGGTTTAAGTCCTGGGCCCAGTGGCCTGAAACTCACACCAGGTGCATGTGCAGGCATACCCAAAATGTGGGGAGGGAATTGCAGCATCCCCATCCTCCCAGGGAGTGATTTCTTACTTTCTCTCTGTCTGTCTGTCTGTCTCTGTCTCTCTCTCTCTCTGTCTCTCTGTGTGTGTTTCTCCAGTGCCCTCTGGAAAAATCTATTTCTTTAATTAAAAAAAAAAATGTTTTAAGAGTACAATATGCAGTCTCACAGTCAGCTTAGCACAGAACTCAGAATGCCATCTGGGGGCTGGACCAGGCGCTGGTGCTCTCTGCTACACACCTTCTCCGGACACCTGCCACGCTTCTCTGTAGACAACACCCTGCTCGCACTGCAGGCTCTTCCAGCTGTCCGAGGCTCCAGCCTTGTGCACATCCTCCTGTAAAACATTTTCCCGTGTCACTTCAGATTGCCTGGAGAGTTGTCGCCCTGCTTGTGGGGTCAGTTGCCTAGTCGTCCCTGGAGTTGTAGCACTGCCCTTCCCAGTGACGCGAGTAAGTGCCATATAATGACAGCATCGACTTCAGGAAGTGTATGAGCAGGACAAGTGTCCGTGTGGTGGAGACCTTTCTGTGGCCATGCTCACTTCCGCTTCCCTGTGCCCTTGCTTCCCTCTGCTGCCTGCCCCATAAGCACTGCCTTGCTGTTCAGATAGAGCCCTTTGGATGACTGTCTAGTATTCAGCCATCCCATCTGCGGCTGCTGGAAATTTGGCCCTTTCTACCACCTTCTGATGACTGGATCTGTATCTAATTTCCTACACATACACACACTTGTCATTTCAGGTTTCATTGAATGTTAAAAATAAATAGTTGTCATAGTTACAAACACTTGAAAAAGAATATATCTTCCTAAAAATAGAGTAGCTTAGTGGTAATGAGAATTTTAAAGTAAAATAGACAACTGGTATTAAAATTAATTTTTTATCTGTTTTTCACACTTTCCAGCATTGAGATGGGTAAAGTTTCATTTGTATTTTGTCTCAAAGTGAAACTAGTATATAACCTCCCAGAATGGGAGCTCTGAAAGGTTCGGCTTTCTAGTCGTTAAATAGTTTAATAAGATTGTCTCAAAAATTACCAGTACTTCTGACTCATTTACGCTCATTTTGAAAATGAGTGACTTAACATTATGTGCAGCCTAAGTGCTGCGCTTCCTACCAGACTGTAGAGAAGCAGGGGTGTTTGGGAAGAGTATTGACTGGCCTAGGCGTGACTGTGAGCCCAGCTCTCCTGGAGTGTGGCGTGGGTCTCCTCTGGTGCTCTCTAGAGCCCTCTCCTCATTCCCTCTCATGGTGAGTTTTCTCATCTAACGTGTAGTTTGTCTCCGGTCTCCAGCCTCCCTCCCAGGGAAATTGTCAGGACCAAATAAGAAAGGTATGGGGGCATATCTTAAACATGTGAAAGGGACCATGAGCCGTGGACACTTTTAAGATGATCCTTACGATTTTAAGTAAGCGGCATGTTAACCCGAGGTGCCTATGGTTTTACTTCAAAGATTAGAAAGTTTATTCATGGGCCACTTGTAGGTGAACATCTTGGTTTGGTTATTCTTCAAGAAAATGATGTGGAAGTTTAGCATGACTAGTTCTCTAAAAGTACCAGCCCCGAATACCTCCCTTGAGTCGGGGGACTGGCTCAGTCCCAGGGAAGTGACCGTGGGACAGGGGAAAGTACTTCGGTGGGCTCCTGACGCCTTGCCCTGGCCCTTGCAGCTGCAGCACATCGTGAGTGATGAGGTCTGTGTGCAGGTGACTGACCTGTACCTGACAGAGAGCAGCAACGGTGCCACCGGGGGCCAGCTAAGCACGCAGACGGCACGCAGCCTCCTGGAGTCCACGTATCAGCGCAAGGCGGAGCAGCTCATGTCAGACGAGAACTGCTTCAAGGTGAGCGTTGCTGGGGAGTCAAGGCCTTCTGGCAGCAGCGAGGTTGCTGGGATCCTGAACCAGGTGGCAGAGGCCAATGCCAGGCCCAGGGCACTCCTGGGACCCTTGGAGTTCTTAGTGAGCTCCTCACAGGGAACACTCAAAGAAATGGGACTGTGGAGGTGTTGTGTATCCCGCCGGTTTACTTCACTTCTTCCCTGCCTTTTAAAAAAATTAGTTATTGGGACCAGCAGATAGCGTACTGGTTACGTTGCTGTTCTCCCACATATTTGACCACACAGTCCCAGACCCAGCGGCTTAAAACTCAAACCGGGCACATGTGCGTGCATGCCCAACATCCTGAGAGGAGAATGGAGGAGAAGGGATTGAGCTGTGGCCATCCCCCTGAGGGTGATTTCTCACTTTCTGTCTCTTCTCCCCTTCCCTCTGGTGAGCACATGTGCCCTATAGTAAAAATCTCTCTCTAAAAAAAAAAATCAGTTATGTATTATTTTTAACAACTTTGTATTCTTTTTTTCTCTGATTTTTTGTATGTCATAACGCTTTGAAAAGATTATTGGGAACATGTTTATATGTGAAATCCATGGTCGCTATAGAAAAGACAAAATGCACCCCTCAGCAGGGATGACCACATTTCAATCCCTTCTCCATTTCCCTCTTGGGATCTTGAGCATGCATGCACACACGCCTGGCATGCGTTTTAAGCCACTTAGTCCAAGACTCGAACCATGGTTGACTACGTAGGAGTCCAGCGACATAACCATTGTGCCATCTGCTTGTTCCACGGGCGTTCTCTTTATTTTGAAAGAGATTATTCTGAGACAGCTCCATAGCCTGGCAGGTGAGGCAGCCAGATCTTACATGGTCAACTGTGCGGTTCAAGCCTCAGTGGCTTGAGAATATATGCGTGCATGTGTGCTGCAATCCCACGAGGAGAGTGGAGAAGGGACTGCAGTCACCATGCGCAACAGTGGGGGCTTCCTCTTCTCCTTCACTGTCTCTCTCTGGTGAGCACATGGACCCTCTAGCAAAGAAAAACAGAGGCATGTTATACATGACCTGGCCTCCTGAGTCTCTGAGGTTGATAGGGACAGCTCTTAGATTAAACCTCGGTCCAAGCATGTTTAAGTGGCTATTTGATATTTTATCTTAGAGGAAATTAACTGCCTGTCTTTTGGGGCTTTTAGGTTGTTTCCAGTTTTCCCCAGTTATTATGGCAATGTAATTGGCAATAGCCAGTATAACTACAGATAGTTGGAAACAACCAGACATCCAGCCCCTTGTAGGACCTGGTTAATAGTGGATAACATATTCCATAGTTCTTAAAAATTAATGATAGGACAGGCCTGCAGTTGACGTAATGGCTATGTCGCTAGATTCCCATGTAGTCAACCGTGGTTCGAGTTCCAGACCCGGTGGCTTAAACTCACACCAGGTGCGTGTGCGTGCGTGCCCAAGATCCCGAGAGGAGAATAGAGGAGAAGGGATTGCGGTGTGACCATCCCCCCTGGGGGGTGATTTCTCACTTTCTGTCTTTATGTCTCTCTCTGGTGAGCGCATGTGCCCTATAGCAAAAACCTCAAAAACAAAACAAAAAAACCAGAATGATAGGACCAGGTGGTGGCACAGCAGTAATTCCGCTGAGCCCATGGAGAAAGTTGAGATTCACGTCCTTGGACCCTCCCAGACATAGCAGGTAGGTACTGTGTGTCCCTGATATGGCCAGCTGTCACTTGGGATAGATAGCAATGTGAAGACCCTACTGGGGGCCTGTTTGTCTCATAGAAGGCAGAAAGAAAGAAAACAGTAAAAATGGGGCCAGCTGGTAGCATGGTGGCTAAGGCAGCTGGACTCCCCAGGAGTTTAGCTGAGTAGCTCGTCTTGGACCCGGCAGCTTGAAAAATACACTGGGCACATGTGCATATATGGCCAAAATCCTGACAGGAGAGTAGGTTACAGGCTGACCATCCTTCTTGCGGGGTGATTTCTTATTTTCCTTCTGTCTTACTATCTCTCTCTCTCTGGTAAGTGGGCACAAGAGGTATTAAATTAACATTTTTTTGATGGACTGGCAGGTGGCATGGTTAAGGGCACTGGAATCCTACGTGGCCTATTGCGGTTCAAGCCCCAGACCTGGCAGCTTGCTTTCTCAATTTCCCTCTCTCTCCTCTCTGTCCCTCCCTGGTCAAATTAAAATAGATAAGTGAAGTTAATTTTTTTTAAAAATTGGTGGGGGGGGGGGCAACAGGTAGAGTAATGGCTACATTACTGGACTCCCATATAGTCAACTGCGATTCAAGTCCTGGACCTGGCAGCTTAAAACTCATGCTAGGGGGTCAGCAGGTGGCGTGGTGATTAGGGGCACTCAACTCCCACATGGCTGGTTAGAGACCTGTGCATGACTGCTTGCTTTCTCACTTTCTCTCTCTCTCTCTCTAAATATTTTATTCAGTTTTATTCATTCATTCATTTATTTTAATTTGACCAGAGAGAGACAGAGAGAGAGAGAGAGGAAAGTGAGAAAGCAAGCCACCAGGTCCAGGACTTGAACCATGGTCAGCCATGTGGGAGTGTCCAGCACCTTAACCACCATGCCACCTGCCAGTTCCCTTCCCTCTCTCTCTCTCTCTTTTGCTCGCTCTGGTCAAGTTAAAGAAAGGGAGGGAGGAGGGAGAGAGAAAGGAAGCTAAATAAGGACTTTCTTATTTAAAACAAAACAAAAAGCTCATGCTAGGCACATGTGCATGCGTGCCCAAAATCCTGAGAGGAGAATGGAGAATGGATTGTGGCATGGCCATCCTCCGGGAGGGGGTGATTTCTCGCTTTCTTTCTCTCTCTCCGGCAAGCACATGTGCCCTATAGCAAAAATAACTCTTAATTTTTTTTTTTAAATTGGAAAGATAAAAATGCATGTAGGTGCCCATTTTTGCTTGTTGCTCCAGTCTGTGTTGGAAGTTACTCTGTGTGTGTGTTACATTCTTGTCAGGTTTTCACTAACAGATAAGGATTTTTTTTTAAACTTCTGCAGAGAGAGCAGTGAGAGTCAGAACAAACTCTGGGCCCCTGTGCTCATTCGCTGTGGCCGTGTGATCTTAGACGCTCATTCGCTGTGGCCGTGTGATCTTAGACGCTCATTCGCTGTGGCCGTGTGATCTTAGAAGTCCGAGCGTTTGTTTTCTGCCTGTGTGAAACAAGGATGATATCGATGGCTGTCAGGTTACCTTCTAATCCGTGAGCTTGATCTGATGGCCCTGCGATTCTCATAGTGGGTCTGCAGCAAACCCTCAGGGACCAGGGCCCTGAGAGTCCCGGGGCTCTGATGGGAGAGCCACCTACCGTCACTGTTGGTGGTTGCTTTACGCAGACCAAGCTTGACGTTTGGCTCAGCAGTGTGTTTGTGAATAAAAAATTTTTAGAAGTTTTTTTTTGTTTTTTAATTTGTCAGAGAGCGCATGTACTCCCTAGAGAGAATGTAAGAGAGAGTGCGAGAGAACCCTCTGAGGGTGGTCACGCCGCAATCCTGCCTTCTCCTCCATCTCATTCTTCCTTCGGGATTTCGAGCATGCATGTACCTGCACCCAGCTTGTTTCTCAAGCCACCAGGTCTGGGACTTGAACCACATGGTTGGTCATGTGGGATCTAGCTGCCTTAACCACCACCACTGGCTCACCTACCATGAATTTTTTTAAAAGTCACATAAATAATCTTCACAGACCGCAGCACTTCCAGGCCTTGGGCACAGTTGGTGTCATCACAGCAGAACATTTCTGCACATGGGCTGAGAGGGACCTTGAAAAGTGTGGAAAGTGCGTATTATGTAAAAACGAATGGGTTTAAATTGTTACACTATGATAAACTCATACTTTGATTTTGTTCTTCCACTTGCTTTTTGAAGTCCCCCAAATGTTTGTATTTTTTTGTTCCTTATTCCAAGGCACATTTAAATTTCTCAGGAAGTACTCATTGCCGTGTAAACGCAGTCGTTGGTCTTGGTTGTGTTTGATGTTTTCTAGTTAACTCCAACGTAAAAAGTTTTCTTTCTGTTGGGACCAGCATTTGGCATAATGGTTATGTTGTTAGACTCTCATGTAGTTGACTGCAGTTCGAGTTCTGGACCCGGTGACTTAAACTCACGCCGGGTACGTATGGGTGCGTGCCCAAGATCCTGAGAGGAGAAAGGAGAAGAAGGGATTGTGGTGTGGCCATCCCCCCGGAGGGTGATTTCTTGTTTTCTGTCTTTCTGTCTCTCTCTTTCTGGTGAGCGCACGTGCCCTATAGTAAAAACCTCTCCAAAAAGAAAAAAAAAAGTTTTTTTCTCTTAACGCACAGGCATGTCTATCTTTGCGTTAAGTCCAGGAACTGGGATCATCGATTAAAAGGACATTAACACTTTAGGGACCAGCAGTTAGCATAATGGCTATGTCGCTGGACTCCCACGTAGTCGACTGCGGTTCAAGTCCCGGACCCGGTGGCTTAAACTCACGCCGGGCGCGTGTGCGTGCGTGCCCAAGATCCCGAGAGGAGAATGGAGGAGAAGGGATTGCGGCGTGGCCATCCCCCCTGGGGGGTGATTTCCTGCTTTCTATCTCTCTGTCTCTCTCTGTCTGTCTGTCTGGCGAGTGCACGCGCCCTATAGCAAAAACCTCTCCAAAAAAAAAAAGGACATTAACACTTTCATGGCTCTGGCTACATACAAGAGAGCTTAACCCATCCAGGGAGTGTTAAGCATGAATGGCCCTTGTTGCTGACATGCTCCATCTTCCTGGTAGCAAGACTGGACTTCAGCCTTTTTTTCATCTCTGGCCTTCCAGGCTTTTGAGCAACTTATGTCTTCAAAACAAAATTTTATGATTTCTATCTTATTTTTCACTTTTGGTATAGGGCACATGCAGTCACTGGGGAGAGAGAGAACATGAGAAAACCCATGGGGGGACGGCCACACCACATTCAGTTCTCTGTTCTCCTCTCAGGATTTTGGACATGCATGCATACAGCATGGTTTTCAAGCTGCCTGGGCTGGGACTCGAACTGCTCAGTCAGCCATGTGGGGTCCGGTGCCTTAACCTCATGCCACCTGCTGGCCCCCAGATTTTATAACGTTATTGCCTCCCCACTTTCACTCTTGAGAAACTAGGTCATAGCTTTGGAGATGATCTTTTGTTCATACTCTGGTTTTGCATTTGCAGCTCATGTTCATTCAGAGCCAAGGCCAGGTTCAGCTGACCATTGAGCTTTTGGACACGGAGGAGGAGAACTCGGATGACCCCGTGGAGGCGGAGGTATGACATGTATTGCAAAACCCACGTGCCAAGCAAAGCTGGCATGTCCCAGGAGTCTGACCAGCAACCCTGTCTGCGAGGAGGTCACGACTTTTTAGGCCCATTAGGGGTCAGGATGTGGATGCTTGGTGTAGGTGGTTCCAGCTGGGTGTGCTCATAAAGAAGAGCTGCCTGTTTTAGATGTCAGCCCACCTCGTGCTCCGCGGAGCCTGTCCTCTGAAGACATCTCATGGGGCTGTTTCCTGAAGTGTTAGGAAAACAGCAGTGCCATCTTCCCCGCGTCACCATGACCCTGGGTCGGGCGAGGCCAGGAGGTCTCCCCAGAGTACGCAGCACAGTGAGATCACCGTCGTAGAGCCTGGCGCGTAGTGGAGTCGTGATGCACTGAAGCTGTGTATGTGGCTGGGGAAGGGTTCTGGAAATACTCGGTCATGGTTGCCACATCTTACAATTTTGTCTCTCTCGAGATGCCAGAAATTAGATGTTAACGTGTAGGACACTGTTCACATCTTTGCCACTGTTCGACCTGTTGGTGAGCCAGCTCACCCATGCCTCAGGAACACCTGAGCATCTCAGACACTGCAGTCTTGCTGGCTAACAGGGCTGTCAGTGTTCCCGTAGCAAATGTAAAGCATATCACTGTGGAAAGGGACTTCCTGACCTCGAAATGGGTGGTATGTAAACATTCCAGTCACAGAATGCACTGGCACACCTGTTGAGGATGGATTTTGGTGTAGTGACCTCTCTGTTTTGTGTCCCTGCCGTAGCGCTGGTCAGACTATGTGGAGCGATACATGAACTCCGATACTACCTCCCCTGAGCTGCGTGAACATCTGGCTCAGAAACCAGTGTTTCTCCCGAGGTGAGTAGGCCAAGTCACCTGTTGGCAGGGAGCGAGTGTGCACGCTTGAGGGTCACAGACCTCCATGACGTTCAGACCCTCGGTCATCAGTCATGTCATCAGAGGGTGCTCATTGCGGGTTTGTGTGGCTGTTGCGGCATGGCCTGCCTGTCGCAGCTGCTAAGGCATCAGAGGAGAGTTTAGAGAGTCAGCAGTAACTCCCTTGGGCAGGCCTGTGTGTCTCAGTCCCCAGGAGGATTGGCAGAACCACATGCAGTCAGGCTTATATTACAGTGGAAAGAAACCCAGCTAAGTCAGCAAAGGGGAAAAGGTGCCATTGGCACAGTTGGCAGAAGCCAAACACAAGCTTCCTTCTGGCGTCTTCGCCCAGTGGAGTCGATAGGACTCATCCTATCCCTCCTCCACACCCAACAAGCAGTGCTACAGCACATGGGCGCTGCTGTCTGCCAAGCACACTCCTGAGAGACTTGGTGCCCGGGCCTCTACTGGCACCCCCTGCCTGGCATGTGCCCAGATTTGCAAGAGTCAGGAGGAAAGCAGGTATTCAGTAGAAATCGCATAGTTGGTATAAAGAGTCGAGATCCAGTCAACCACTTTAATGATGTAGGGAATGGAGAGAAGTCCCCTAAAATCCAAGATCTCAGACCCCAGCTAAGGGCCAGCACTGTAAGCAAGCTTTCAAAGGACAGTAGCCTTAGGCCTGCTATGTTAAATCTTTTTTTTTTTTTTAAGAGATTTTTGCTATAGGATGTGCATGCGAGAGAGAGAGAGAGAAAGAGAGAGAGAGAAAGTGAGTAATCACCTCCAGGGGAGATGGCCATGCTGCAGTCCCTTCTCCAGCCTCCTCTCCAAATCATAGGCACACACACACGTGCCTGGTGTGAGTTTGATGCCACTGAGTTTGTGACTTGAACCACAGTTGGCCATGTAGGGGTCCAGTGCCTTAACCACCACGCCATCTGGTGGCCCCTAAATAGTAATTTTAATTTTTTTTTCCAGGCAACACTTGTTTGCCAGAGACACACACAAAAAAGGAGAAAGTACTCCCTAGTGGGACTTGATCACACTGCATTCTCTTCTGTTTCTCCATCCTGTCAGGATTTAGGGCACACACACCTGGTGTTTTTCACTTAGCTGAGGCCAGGACTCAAACTGTATAGTAGGCCAAGTGGGATCCAGCAATAGTATGGCCCAAAAAGATACTCTAAACAAAAATGGTGGGCTGGCTCCCTGGCATAGCAGTAATGTGCTGCTCAAAAGAAGCCAGATCCTACATGGCTACTATGGTTTGAGTCCCCAGCCCGATGCACCTGAGATAGCCTGGGCACACATGTGCCCGAGATCCAGTGGGTTGGAGGAGGGGATGGCACTGGGCCAGACCCTGGGAGGCTGCATCCCCCACTGTGCACATACAGCCTATCATAAATAAAGAAAAGAGTTGTTTTTAATTTGTGAAAATACTGGCATCCATTTTGCCAGTCTGTTTAACGCCTGGCTTGATGGAGCAGAACAGCTGGGTTCTCGTCTGCTTCTCTATGTGGTTTGTGGCATCACGATGTTTGGTGGAGATCTGTGAAGAAAACCTGGCCTCATTCACATATGTAGCTGGAAAAGGAAGGAATGTTTTCATGTCCTTTCAGATGATTCTGGCTATTCTTTTTTTGGTCGTTTTTGTTTTTGTCATATGGCAGGTGCACGCGCCTGAGAGAGACAGTGAGCAGGGAAGCAAGACATCACTCCCCAGGGCAGTGGCCACGCTGCAGTCTCTTCTTTTCCTGAGATTTTGGGCACATGTGCCTGAATGATTTTCAAGCCAGCGGGTCCAAGTCTCGAACCTAAGTTGGCCATGTGGAGTCAAGCACCTTAACCCCTCGCCACCTGCTGGCACTCTGGCTATTCTTTGATATGACAGAATTCTTCGAATTCCCACACACACTTTGCCACAGAAAATAGCCTGTGCTTGCTGGAGAGAAAGATGGAGGGAAGGTGAAAAAGCATCCCCACCCCCCAAACCCAGAGAGGATGGCCTTGCTGCAGTCATTTCTGCATTCTCCTCTTGGGACTCTGGGCACACGCACCAGGCACGTTTTTCCAGCCGCCAGTTCCAGGACTTGAACTACTCAATCAGACTTGTGGGATCTAGCTACCTTCACCACCATGCCATCTGTCTAGCCCCGAAATTCTAGAAGTAGTAGTTTCTTAAAGCTTAGTTACATTATCAGTTCAAATACTAAACGCATATATAATATTAGAACCTATTGGTTTATCTTAGAATCTTTTAACATCTCTGTCTTTGTAAATTATTCATCTTGAGGTACCCTGATGTAGTATGACCCTATTTTATCCTAAGTAACAAATTCCAAAGCAGAACTGTAGTGAGTAACTGTATACGTAAACTCACCAACAAAGTCCTATAATTTTAAAATCAGAACTGTTAACAGTGGCGGGGCCAGCAGGTACCATGGTGGTTAAGGGCACTGGACTCCCATATGGCTGACCGCAGTTCGAGTCCCAGACCTGGCGGCTTACTTTCTCGCTTTTATACTCTCTCTCTCTCTTACTCTCGCTCTTTCACTCTGTCCTGCTCTGGTCAAATTTAAATGAATAAATAAAGTCAAATAAAATAATAATTAAAAAAACTGTTAACAATGGCTACCAGTGGGATTTGAAGACTAGGGTAAAAAATGATTAAAGATTTATTTTATTCTATATATTTTTATGGTTGAGGAAATTTGTGTAATGAATCCGTTGAACATTTTTTTTATATTTGTAACTAAAATCGAAGGCATATAATAAGAAAAGGCACGTGATTGGGGTAGTCACGGGTGTCTGCCAGTGAGTGAGTATTCATCCCGCAGGGCTTTGCTGCTTCCTAGGAATCTGCGGCGGATCCGGAAGTGCCAGCGTGGCCGAGAGCAGCAGGAGAAGGAAGGGAAGGAAGGGAACAGCAAGAAGACCATGGAGAACGTGGACAGCTTGGACAAGTTAGAGTGCAGATTTAAGCTGAATTCCTACAAGATGGTGTATGTGATCAAGTCAGAGGACTACATGTACCGGAGGACTGCCCTGCTACGAGCGCACCAGGTGAGAACCAGGAATGGAGCGGGGCAGGGTGCTTCACCAGCCAGGGCTAGAGGAGCCAGAGTCTTCTGATAGTTTCTTTTCCTTTACACAAACGCATTCACAGAGCAGGGAGTCACCGAGTAAATGGGTATCTTAGATTACTAAGAGTGCCATGTCTAATAACCGTGGACCGTGTGGCTTGAATGATGGAAATGTAATGTCCCATCATTCTAGAGGCTGGAAGTTCAAGGTCTGGTGTCAGCAGGTTCAGTTCCTTCTGAGGGCTGCAGGGAGATTGTTCCTCCTCTCAGCACCTGGGGCTTTGCTGGCAGCCTGCTGGCGTCACTGGTAGACCTCTGCCTTCATCTCTATGTGGTGTTTGTCCCTGTGGGTGTCTATCGTTATGAGGTCACAGCCTAAGGTACTGGTGGCTAGGGCATGGACATACTTGAATGGAGATGGAGGATAAATGCAACTCACAAGACAGGTAAACCACTGCCTGTGGCTTCTGGTGACACCACACCCCAATGGAGAGTCCAGATGCTAAGCCAGGTGAAGAGGTCAGGTAACTGGCCTCGCCCTATGGTGGGGGCTTCTCTAAGTCAGTGATGCTTGAGGCCTTGACCAGAAGTGAGACTGCTCAAGAGAGGAGGGGAGGTGTTTTCTAGGTAGGGAGGCCAGTAGACACGAGGCCAGAAGGGAGGACGAGACTTGGCGTGCTTGAGAAGCTGAGAACACCCGAGGGGCTCAAGCTCGGCATTACAGAGAGGAGCAGGCAGGCCCGCGTTACTGGGGCTTGGCAGTCCTGGTGTGGATGCTGTCTGAAGTTCCCCTGGGTCTTGGTTGACAGCCATGGCTGGACTGCTGTGAGGAGAACAGGCTGGTTACTGGTACACCTGGGAAGAGCAGAGACCACTCAGAAGACTGCCCTCGTCCTAGTGGGATGTGGAAACGACCCAGACTGCTAGGTGGCTGTGGACAGATCATGGATAAGAAATGGGGAGTTAAGTGAGAGGAGGACATGACCGGTGTTTCGTGAAGGGTGGTCCGTAAGTGATGGAGAATTTAGGGAAGGATCAGTTGGTAACGGGTTACTAGGCTTGAGGACAAACCCAGGCCTGTTCTGGACTGGCTAGGTAAGAGGTCTGCGGGGTTCCCCTGGTGGGCATGGAGGGCAGGAGGCTCCCCATGCTCCTCCGTGCTGAGCGTGGCTGCTGTGCATCATGTCTGCAGGCCTCGGACTCACGTTCCCCCAGTTTTGTCTTTGCTTTCTACTCAGCCTTGCCATGTGGGCACTGAGTACTTGTCAGGTGCCAGGTAGGAACAGAGCCTTCCACTCAAACTTGTGTGGCGACTGTGCTAGCCGGAGGGGAAGAACAGAGAAGGCTGGATGGGTTTCAAGCCTTCCGCTTTTCCTTACTCAGAAGCGGATTGTTGTGCGGGTCAGACGACCCCACAGCCCATAGCCTGCTGGCCACAGTGCTAGAGGCCTCACGGATCCCTGGCTTGGTCATCCTGAAAAACATGTGTAAAGTGGAGGCTGGAGTTGGGGTTGTGGATGGAGACCCTGTGGAGGGTGCCCTCCCCCTGCACATACACATGGGCACACACACACTGAATTAGAGAAGAAAAGAAATGGGCCAGCAGATGGTGTGGTGGTTGAGGGCACTGTAGTCCCGCATGGCCTACTGTGGTTCAACTCCTGGACCTGGAGGCTTGCTCTCACACTTTCCCTCCCTCGCTCTCTTGTTCTCACTGTCTTTCTCAGGAAATTATTAAATAATAATAAAGTTAAATAATTCTTTAGCAAATTTTTTTTAAAAAAGAATAAAAGGAAAGAAACAGTGGACAGCCACGGCCAGTGTGTCTCGTTCAGCAAGGGCTGTGTGTGATGCTGACGCACACTCGACTCTCCAGCCAGCTGTCAGCCCAGAGCCCAGGGGCGTTTCTTGGGGGGCTGTCCGGGTGACCCTCTGCTTGCATGCTGTGCGTTTCTGCCCGTCATCACCTCTTCACACGGGAAATCTGATGCCTTTCTCTCCACTGGCACGGAGGCCTTGAGCCTGCTCTGTTATCTCTCTCCAATTTGCTAGAGGGCACGTATGTTTGCTGGAGAAGGAGAAAGTGAGCAGTCACCATCACTTACGCAGCCCCCCGAAACACAAGCAGCAGCCACATCTTCCTCTTATTTAACTCATATTTCTTTCTTTTTTTATTTTTGAGATGTTTTTGCTATAAGGTGCATGTGCTTGCCAGAAAGAGAGAGACGGAAAGCGAGAAGTCACCCCCCCCCAGGGGTGTTGGCCATGCTGCAGTCCCTTCTTCTCCTCCATTCTCATCGGGATCTTGGTCATGCATGCACGTGTGCCCGGTGTGAGTTTAAGCTACCGGGTACAGGACTCGAACTGCAGTCAACTACATGGGAGTCCAGCAACATAGCTATTACTCCAACTGCTGGTTCCTTAACTCACATTTCTGATCCATGATCTGTCCACAGCCACCTAGTGGTCTGGGTGGCTTCCACATCCCAGTAGGATGAGGGCAGTCTTCTGAGTGGTCTCTGCTCTCTCCAGGTGTGCCAGTACCCAGCTCGTTCTCACAGCCGTCCAGCCATCGCTGTCAACCAAGACCCAGTAATGTGGGCCTGCCTGCCCCGTGGCCCTCATTGTGGCCGTGCCTCCATTGCCCTCTCAGGATTTGGGGCATGCAGGCACTCGCACCTGCCATGTTTCAAGCCACTGGGTCCGGTACTTGACCACACAGTCAGCTGTATGGGACCCAGCTGCCTTGACACCATACCTCCCGCCTGGTCCGAACCCACTTTCCTCTCCTTCTTTAGGAGAAAATGGCCTTTGTATTCGAAGTGTGGGGGAGGGGGTTAGTTCTTGTTTTGGGTCCTGTCTCACGGCTCCCTCTCTTTCTGTCTGCAGTCCCATGAGCGTGTGAGTAAGCGGCTGCATCAGCGGTTCCAGGCCTGGGTAGATAAATGGACCAAGGAGCACGTGCCCCGGGAAATGGCAGCAGAGACCAGCAAGTGGCTCATGGGTGAGGGGCTGGAGGGCCTGGTGCCCTGTACCACCACCTGTGACACAGAGACCCTGCACTTTGTGAGCATTAACAAGTACCGTGTCAAGTACGGCCCAGTGTTCAAAGCCCCCTAACTGCAGAGCCAGGAACAGGTGACTAGGGGTGTGTGTGTGGGTGTAGGTGTGTGTGTGTGTGTGTGTGTGTATCGATGTGGGCATTTGCACTCACACACATTGAAGAAACGAGGAAGATGCCTTTCACGCCTCCTGGGCCTCTCTGGGACATGGCCCCTGACCCGTGCAGCTGGTGCACCCCGGCCCTGGGCAGGCACACATGGAAGGTGGGTACTTACCCGACTGACGCCGGGACTTCTGCCACGGGTCGGAAACCGAGCCTGCCCGCAGGGGAGCAGGTCCGTGCAGGCCTAGAGACGAGCAGTGCTTGCACACCCCAGCAGAGCTCGGGTGGAGTCCCTGGGGCCTGGCCTGCAGGGAGGGCACCAGGGGCCGCTCACTCTGCCAGGATGGAGGCACATTGACCCATCGGACTGGGGAAGGACTTGCCGCACACATGGACGGGACTGTAATGGCCGCCACTACTTTCTCTCCTCTCAGAAAGGAAAAAACTGGATTTGATTTGTTTTCTTCCGGTCACTTGAGCACATCTAAAATCACTCATTAGGTTTGATCCAGGATCTACAGTTTGGCTTTGGGCTTGACCATCTTGTGGATTTGTTCCTGACTAATCCCTTGCTGCCCACCCTCTTCTCTCCCTTCTGGTTCTCCACCTCAGCAAATCACGCGTCCTTTCTAGCTCCCGTGGAACTGTTTTGTACCTGCGCCTTTACTAGCCTACCCCAGTGCCACCCACCAGCTGCACTCTGACACACATGTGCACACACACACACACACACTTTTAACTTGTTCTTTTTTTGTAAATAATGTATATACTGTCAATTTTTTATTAAAAGAAATATGCTTTCATGTGCTAGCATAACTGCTCTAGCTTCTTGTGTACCATAGTACCATGTGGCTTCAGATTTAGTACCTATGAACAGATGTACAAGACATTTATTACACTTTTTACCAAAGGGAGTTACCATTGTAGTACTTTTGTGTAAAACTTGTCTTCCCCTTTGCCCCCCCCCCCTTTTTTTTTGTAAAGAAATAAAGCTTGGTTCTTTCTTAAGGAATAAACTCTCAACCCAAGTCCCTTGTCCTCACCAGAGAACTACTGTGAAGCTGGGATATTGGCTTCAGTCCCTTACCCAGGGTACAAGCGGGATTTGCTTTAAGTAATTAATAATCACACTTATCCCAAATCAAAATATTCCAAAAACTTAAAATAGAAATACTATGTTCTAGTACATGTTCTTTTTCCATTGTTGAACTATTTGAAGATATTTTATATTTGGCTGAGTGGTCAAACTATGTAGTTTGTATTTCTATATATTTTTTCTTATGCTGATAGGGCACAGAAGTGCACAACTTAATACCAAACCAGTATTTGGAAGGTGCGTGTGGGAGGTATGTGGGGCAAGTGGGGTGGGAGAGAGAGTTTGATACATTTCATTAGCAACTGCAAATGGGGAGATGTATTTTTTTAATTACGTAAACTTAAATTTAAACTGACAGACGTTTAAACGTGATTAGGACTTTTATATATGGTTAGCCTGGACTTTCTGAGCAAACACCCAGTGAGCCCCTTCCAGTACTCTGGCAGCCATTACTGCATTCGTAGGTGGAACCAACTGTTTTATGTGTTCTATGCTTTTTAATTAAAAATTCCCAACACCACCACCACCAAGAAGAAATTTGTTGGTTCCTGGACTTCAAAAGACGTGTGGTAGACCTGATTTTAGACTTTTTTTTTTTTTTTTTTTTTTTTTTATGCAAAAATGTTTCATGACTTTTCCAATGGCCCAATAGAAACGTATGCCTTCTTAGGTACCATAAAAAAAAAAAAATTGGTGAAAAGTCACGATTCAAAGGTGGTTACAACAGAATGTCATTGAAGAGGGAGAAAGTGCTATACTTTTCCTTACTTCTCTTAAGTATCACAGCCATCCTATTACAATAGGCAGGTTGGGACCAGCAGATGGTGTAATGGTTAGGTCGCTGAACTCCCATGTAGGTGGCCATGGTTCGAATTCTGGACCCAGTGGTTTAAACTCATGCTAGGTATGTGTGTGTGCAT